CAGGCATCGGTGCGGCCACTGCTGTACTTCTGGCCAAAAGTGGAGCCAATGTTGTGATCACTGGACGTAATGCCGAGAATGTGTCCAAAGTATCGAAACAGTGTTCAGATGTGTCACCAAAACGTCTTAAACCTCTGGAAGTCGTGGCAGACGTTACCAAAGAGGAAGACCTCCACAGACTTCTGGACACAACTATCAAGACTTTCGGAAAATTAGATATTCTGGTGAACAATGCCGGCGCCGGCTCTTTGGTCGCTATAACTGACGAGAATTTCATTAAAAACCACAAATGGGTTATCAATACAAACGTGAATTCTGTCGTATATTTGACATATATTTCTGTCCCATATTTGGAGAAATCAAAGGGAAATATAATCAACATCTCGAGTATTGCAAGTTTAGTAACTGTAAGCATAACATCAATAATTGTTCCTAATATTAATTTAATTTAGATAATATTAAAACAATTTTTATAAAAACAACCAGTAATACGGTATTATTTGATGCCGTAAACTTAAATTTCAAGCCTTATAATTTTACTTGCTCATATTAATAACCAATTTGAATCCCCAAAACAGGGCAAACTCTTCACGTCATACTGTATGTCAAAGGCGGCGCTCGATATGTTCACCAAATGTATGGCCGCAGAGTTGGGGGTCAAAGGGATTAGAGTTAATTCAGTCAAGTATTGCACGTTTTATTTTAAAAATTATTTTCATTACTATAAGTAATAATTTATAACAAACTCTGTTTACATTAATTCTAGTCCGGGTGGAGTTCGTACCAATTATGGTCAGGCTAATTTTGGTTTGAATAAAGACCAGGAGACTGCTATGTGGGATAAATTTTGTGCTACATATCCGATGGGACGAGCTGGTGAGGGTTTGGATATTGCCAATGCCATTGCGTACCTGGTCAGTGATCAAGCTGAGTTTGTTACGGGTACTATACTAGTGGTCGATGGCGGACACATTGCCGCTAATGTTAATATTGAACTATAATTAATGCATTAATGTAACGTATTTTAAAATTACACATACCTGTATTCAAGTATTAGATAGTTAGTGACCAAGCAATAGTAATTTTCTTAATTAATTAATACCAGTATTTTAGAAGCAAAATTAATCAATTATAGTAATTCATTAGATATAGTAACCATTTGCTGCAATTTCAGATAATTTTAAGATTATAAAATATTAA